GAGGCATTTCGTTTCATCCCCATAGAGCCCTGAGAACAATATTTACGTCTGTAAGTAGCGCGTGTCCATTGTTTTGGGGTGATCCACGACTGGAACCAAAAAATTAACAAAATCTAGTGGTGGATCAGTCCTACTTTTCGCCTGTTGACGCATTGTTTTATTGAAAATTTTATGAGTTAAATTTTAGTTAACACTAATTCAAATGTTTATTAATTGTTAACACCTGATTTCAAATTGTTAAATTTTTGTTGAATTAAAATACCCAGAATTAATAAATGTTATTTATCATTGAAACTGAAGCTTTAAGAGTTTCTATTTATTTATTACCAAAAAATCTAATAAAAAGATGATTAATTAACATTTAGTCACATTATACCTATAGAAATGAAAGAGGAGGGGATATGGATAGGAAAGTGAATTTGAAAATCTGTCCGTAAAGCCTTATAAAAGTTGCAAAACGTCTCAGTCTCGTAATTTTGAAATGTAATGTTTTTTAGTATGATTTTTTAAGTGATCCACCACTGGAGCAATCTATAACCATGACTGGTGCAAACAGTGATCCAGAATAGGATCATTGACAAATTATCTTTGATGGAGCATTAAAGTAAACGTAGGTGTCAAAATCAAGTCTAACCTTGAAAGAAATGTCTATTGGAACTATCTGGTCCATAATACTATAAAGAATAACCTCTAATTTGTCTAAAAGCAACCTATACAGAACTTCAAAGTCAAAATAACAAAGTTAAGGGGCTTAACTGATCCACCACTGGTGCAGTTACCCTATGTATAATATGTAAAAAATATTTTCCCAAGGTTTTAAGATAATGTGAGTAAAACAAATTTTTAAAAAACTTAGTATATAAGGGTTTTTAGGGTCTCTGCATTAAAAAAAAATTTCGTGATTTTTACGTAGTTTTTCAATTGTTTATTAGTTGAAAATTATGAATAATAATTTAATTATTACTTAACCAAATATCATTGATACCTGTAGTGCGATAATGTGATTTTTGGATTTCTCAGATCGAAAAACAAAAAGATAGATAAAAAAACCAAGTTCGTAAAATTTCTATATTACAATAATAAATAAGGAGCATAAGGTATAAGTTGCAAAAGATACCTCCGCATATATTTAGCTCATATTGGCTCCATAACTCAAAAATTCTGTTTCTCGAAACAAAGGCAAAATCCGGGAATTTATTATCCTATACTTTTAATTTTTTTTAATAAATTATGGAATATGAAAGCTACGATTTTTTCTTATCCTTATACAATATTCAGAATGCCGTTTTTTTTAATTTGAAATAATATTAGAGTTAAAAAAAAATTCTAGCGTGCTCTGTAAACCTGAATAAGTGCATATTCACTTATTCATATTTCAAAAGTCTTTCACGTGAAAAAAAGTGCATAATATACTTGTTCATAAAATGAAATTTCGATTATTTTATGTGTATATGCACTTGTTTTTCACTGATTTCACTGCACTTTTCAATGATTTAGATTTAGAGAGTGCGTTGACATTTTTGCCTCGTGATGTGCCAGTTATTTATATACTTCTTCAAGTATAATATCTGAAAAATAAAAAATCGCCATTCCGAATATTTGAATAAGAATAGGAAAAACCACAGCTTTCGTTTGTCATAAGAGTCAGTATTTCTGAAAGGATCCACCCAAAACCTTTTTATTTCATTCTTCGTTTTAATGTGGTTGTTACATTCTCACAGGGATCACAGTACCTTTTGTCATCAAAAAAGGTGAAAAGGTACAATTTTTTTCAAAAATAGGTGACAAAAAAATTATTGTTAAAGATGAATAAACATGTAATTTAAGGTTTATTAACAATTTATTTGTTACTAAAGAGTACTTTTATTATTCTGAATCAAAACATAATTATAAATTCAACATTTATAAAATATATAAAATAAAATTTTTTTTAAAGTTAAGTAGAAGCTGAGAAAACCATTTACAAGAAGTCATTTTTTTTTTGCAGCACTGTCTATTATAAGATAATTTTTTCTTCTGATACCTTCTATGAAGCTTGTCCACCTCATTCTTTTTCTTTTTTTTTTGGAATTGAATTTAATATAGCTATAATACAAAAACTCGAAATTTCGGAAAAAAGTGTTCCCCTCCCTTAACTGTTACAGTTTTGGAGCTACGATGCTCAAATGGCTAAGTATGACTTGTAAATGGTTCAATCGCGCAATTTACTGACTGAGATTGGTATTATTCTCCAATTCGAAGCAAAGCGCGATATTTAAACACAAAAAAATAATACCTAAGTACAAAATAAAAGAAAATTTCCTTCAATAACTGGAAGAAGGTGATAAATCATCGAAATAGGTGAAATAGATACCAAATTTCAAAATAGGTGAAAAAAAGGGAATAGGAATACCCAAAATATATTTATTTTAAATTTACACACATAGCAATGAAAAATGGTTTTTGTTGAAATCGCTTGGAATAATATAATATATGACATTCTTAAAAAAAAAATTTAAAACACATTAATTGACCTATTTTCAGAGCCATTCTCGTTGAAATATATCAAAATTTTCGAATTAAAATTCTATGTACAACCTTTTAACTACACCGAGAAAAATATGCTACTGAATCAATAGCATTTCTGACAAAGGTATAAAAATTATTGATTCAAAAGCATATGCTATAGAATCTATAAAATATTTTACAAATTTTATAGCATATGATTTTGAATTAATAATTTTTATACCTTTGGCAGAAATGCTATTGATTCAATAGGATATTTTTCTCAGGGTATCATAGCTAGCTTAGTTATATTTGAAAGTGATGAGAATATTATCCTTAAAGTCAAAGTACTTTAAGAAACTTAAATTAAAAAAAATTTCACTTATATCAATTGTACAAAAAATTTTTTATTAATTAAAACATAAGGGCGAACTAAATTTGAACAGCTGTAGTGCCACCATTCTCTTTTTCTTTGCTCAATAAAAAATTTATTTTAATACATTTAAACTTTATTTATATAATATGATTTAATTCATTTTAATAAAGACTATATTAGTTCTATCTATTTACTTTTTCAAAACAGGTCATTTACATAAAGCTTCCCTCTTAAAGTAACTACTTTTGTATTTATTTTAACTCTGTGTGTAATTAATTTAACACTTTTTAATGAAATTAATAAAAATAATTTCTTTCTACCTAACGTATCACTTCAAAATTTAGTTAAATCAACTAAAAAATCTTATTTTACTAAATGGATTCTTGGGTCATTCAACTTCTTTCTGATAGTATAATTAATACAAAGTCAAAAATATTGAAATACTAAATTAACCATTATAAAAAAAGCATTAAAAAATCTATAAGAAATATATTCAAAAATTTTTTTTAATACGTCTACGGCAGTGTAAATGACATACGCACGGTGAAAGGGGTTAGACAAAATCATTTTTTGCCAAAAGTTGTTTTTAAAGTATTGCAGAAGTATATGTTAAGGGGGATATTATATTTTTAAAACAAAACTTAGAGGTTTAGCTTAAAAAAAACCGAAGGAATTTTTTACATTTCAAAATTGAGTTTTTTTCTAAATCGTCTTACTTATATATAAAACATATTTAAACACGGAATTTTTTTTTAATAAATCATTTGTATTTTTTAGGGTACGTATGATGTATTAATTTAAATGATGTCAATTTCAAAAACACGTTCTTGTAGCCTAATTTAATGTTTTAAAAGTCAAAATTCGGTCAACCGTCCACGTAGTTTTTGAGAAAAATGAGCTTTTTGATTCTTCTTACCCCCTCCATAACTCGAAAAAATTTTAATTTGGAGTTGATACTTTCAGAATTTTATACTTATATGGTGCCAATATAAGTTAAATATGTGAGGGGCAAATTTTGCAAATTTATGTCCTTTAATGATAATTGAAATTTTTTAAGAAACAATCAAAATTGAAAATGTAAAACCTTTACTCCGAAAGTTGAGTAGATAGGTATAGGGGAAGGTGGGGTAATGGGAGCTTTTAAATTACAAGTACACAGAAACTTTGAATTTCGTGGAAATAAATCGGAAAACTTGAACAATCTTTCTGTATGTCATACGAAGACAAACGGTTACATTTCTGACAGATTTGTAGAAACTACAAGTAAAATTCAAGTTTTCGAGATTTTCTTCTTAAATGGAAAATATTTCTGGATCGAGATCAAATTAAATAGTTAAAAATTAATTATTTAATTATGTTTCGTGATTTTATTAAATAAAAATATGTGCAGATTTAGATACATGAATAAAAATAGAGATAATAATTAAATTTGTTTATGTTTTTCCTCTTTTTTTCAAATTGTAGCCTGTGAAAATTCTTTGGGGTAATGGGAGAATTGTGTCAGCCAGCAAAGTTTCGTTATACCTCGATATGGCTTTTCTTATTTTATCTTATGAATAAGATTCATTTATAAAATTTGATATTGTTGCATATTTACTTGCTAAGAATCAATATTTGTATTTTATTGTCTAAAATGTGTTATTATTGGATATTTTAATACTAAAGAAGCTGTAGGTCTTTTTTATGTCATAAATATTTTGTAAAATGTTCATCTGTCGAGAACTATTGACAAAATAAGAAAAATATCTAAAGAAAATATAAATTATATCATTTCATTGGAATTTCAAGTGAGAGTTCTCAATACCCCACAGGTTGGGTAATAGGAGGAAATGCATTTTTATAGAAAACATTTTTTTTGCAAACTTACTTTTTTGTTCTTAATTTCTAATTAATTATAATTAAAGATAAATAACAAAGGAAATAAAAAATGACCAAAGAAATATTTTATTATAACAATAAGTTTGTTTTTTAATTATTTTCCTTAAGGGGCTCCAGTTCCCTCACCTTCCCCTACTTGAAATACATACGCACGCTTTCAATACTCTTAATATTGACATAGGCCTCTATTAAAAGTCACACTGCACACCAAAATTTAAAAACACTTACGTCTCTTTTAGAAACAAACACAAAACAAACTCACCTTTAAGATGATCTATATTTGGTTAAGACGACGGAAAAATTGGACACTCTTTATCACCTGAAAAATATTGTCACTGTCATTAAGATTATAATGCTTGAGATCTTTGGCGGATTTTATTTCTATTATCATCATCTCTTAGAGTTCTAATAACTTGAAAATATGCAACCAGTTTATGCATTGAGTAAAAGAACTGAGATGACAACTCTTTTTTGCAATGAAGACAATCATCTATAACTTGATTAAAGAACTAGAAAGATGTAATCGTTTTGCAAAATGAAGCAGATACGTCTTAATTTGACTTTGACGTCTTTTTATGTGTAGAATACATAGCCAAGGATTGTGCAAAATTTGTGAAGAAATGTAAAAAACACGTTAAATATAATGGATTTTTGACCAAGTTACGTATCAAAACGGCAACCGAATAAAAATGAAAGTTACAGCAACAGAGACATAAAACAAACATTGGGTGCTCTCGAAAAAGAAAAGAAAACTGGATTTTAATTTGCAATTACAATCGACGTTTAGTCTCGCGAAATCTTGGTACTCGTGACTCTACAATGTAATCTGGAAGGGGCAAACTCATTTTTCCATCGAGTACCGACAAAAACACGAAATCTAAAAACAAAACTCATATACCAACACAAGTTCCCAGAGATTGCGAAACGCTCGAATAAGCACTGGCGCAAAGGAACAGTATCAGTACTCCCGCATCGACAACAATTACGAGCAAGAAAAAAGGGTTCATCGTTTACATTAACAACTTACTTTGGAGTGCAAAGTTTCAAATGCAAGATGACTGGGCGTCTCATGCGAAATCCATCGACTCCGGGGGGTCACACTGCTTATCGAAAAATTGTCGACATTCTGGCACAGAACAAGACTTAATATCGACTTCCAGACAAAGTGTTGATTCTCGCAGTCTCGAGTGATGCAAAAATAATTCTCACATTCTTACCATACGCACGACATTTTTCATCGTGGCCATTCATCAAAATATGGCCTGCAATGCAGCACACGACATATGTCACGTACGTCTCTCGTCGTAAACAAATGACCAGGAGTTTTGATTTTGCGATACTTCTCCCGCACTCAGTAACTGTGAATTTGACACACAATTATTTCAACTTTCCCGTTGATCACTGGGTGTGCAAGGTATTAAAAAAACTTTTTAACGTCAATTAACCTTTCATAACGACGTGCGGAATGGTGCAAAGAAAATTCTCTACTAACTTGCTAAAGGTAACTCACTACTGCCATCTAACTTTGTTAAATAAACAAAGTTGAAATATATTGATCCATTTAAACCTTTGCCTACAATCGATAACTATTCTGTATTATACTAATAAAGGTTCATAAATAAATTAATAAATGTAATATGGAAATACATATCAAAATTGTCAGAATAAAATCCTCTGAAATAACAAAGTAGTCTAACGACCATTTGTGCCAACCAGAAGACAGTTTTCTTGTGTACAGATTTACATTTAGGAATTTTATGTTTATTAGGCCTGAGCACAATAATATCATACATCACTGAACTATTAGGTTGTTCGAGTTGGGTGGGGGGAAATCCAACATGGCGATTAAGCGATGCACAAACAAACAAGAAATGTACGGGATGAAGTCGAATTTTTTTAATATCTCGCTGAAATGAAATTTTGGAACCTAAGTGTATTAGAGGATTTTGGTTTCTATTTTTAATTTCCTATTTAATGCAATAATAAAATTTATTAAAAAAATAAAATCGTTTTTTATTATTGCATTAAATAGGTAATTAAAAATAGAAACTAATATATATATATATCTGGAATGAGGTCTGCCATAAGCAGTTCAACTTGTGACGTAAAGGCATGAAGAATGAGTTAGAGAAGGATAGACATATTGTTTGTCCTTCTCTAACTCATTATTCCGGTTGCGTTTGCGGTTACGTTTCTATTCTGCTCAGGCCTTAAGGCCAGGTCCAAGTGAGGCAGCGCCATCTACATTGAAACTAAAATTTTGTAAAATTTTCAACAGCCTTTTCTTGAAAATAAGAAGTTAAAATGCTTTTTTCTTCATGGATAATTGATTATTGGCAAGATATACACCAGCTAAAACTTTTTTTGAGTTAAAATAATAAAAAAAAATTCATGTCAATAAATTAAATATGAGCACTTTTTTTCACTAAAACTGTAACAGTACTTTCTCAGAAATTACAATCAAAAATGCAATTTCCATTTGGAAAATTAATAAACGCTAAAAAATACACGACCTAAGATTTACCAATCACGAAAATAACAAAAAAAAATTTTTTTAACATAACATATTTTACTCCCCACACAGCACATAAAATTTCCTGAATTTGTCCTGAATATTTCATTGAAAGATTCGAAATATTTCAATGAAAGGTCCATGAAATTTTGATACAACAATGAAATGTCCGCCTATAAGAAATATTGCAGTTCCGATTGTACGAAAAATTTCATCGAAATGTTGAGGAAATGTGAAGATGAAAAATTACTGACATATTATTTTTTAATATTTGCAAAATAAAAAAATGAAATATGTTACAAATTTTTAAGTGAAATATTTTGAAAAGATTATTCATTAAAATTCTAGAAATATCGAAATAAAATATTTCTAAATTGTTAAAAATACATATTTAGGCAATATCATCCGGATATATTTGTGAAAAATAAAAAAAATGAATTTCAGAAATAAATAGCGGTAGTGATTGTGAAAATATGTAACAAAATTTGTGTATTTAGTGAAATAGTGACAATTTATTTATTATAAAGAAATTATTACACGTAAGATGCAACAAGCGAAACATGAACATGAACAGTAAGTATAAAAATAGAATACTTAAAATAAATAAGATCCGCTCAGGTACGCAAGGATATACTATAAAAGTCAATTTGTTACAAATTTTACTTGACTGGACTTTTAATATTCGTAACTTTTTAATTGAATTCTTAATTTACTGCATAATTATAATTAAACAAAAAATTTTTTTCGCAGAATTGTCATTTGATAACATTTCTATTTTTCAGAGTATTCAAATGTTTAAAATTTAATTTGTCTAAAATTGCAAATGACAAAAAGTACATATGAACCGATCGCCGGAAAGACGGCATACGTCGATTTAAGACATTTTGAGATATGTTAAATTTAAGATTCACTTGTAAGTTATAATTTAAGGCATTATTATCGAAAAATTTTTTCATTTACAAAGGTTTACTATCGGTCAACTAATTTTGTTACATATTTTCACAATCACTACCGCAATTTATTTCTGAAATTCATTTTTTTTATTTTTCACAAATATATCCGGATGATATTGCCTAAATATGTATTTTTAACAATTTAGAAATATGTCATTTCGATATTTCTAGAATTTTAATGAAGAATATTTTCAAAATATTTCACTTAAAAATTTGTAACATATTTCATTTTTTTATTTTGCAAATATTAAAAAATAATATGTCAGTAATTTTTCATCCTCACATTTCCTTAACATTTCGCTAAAATTTTTCGTACAATCGGAACTGCAATATTTCTTATAGGCGGACATTTCATTGCTGCATCAAAATTTCATGGACGTTTCATTGAAATATTTCGAATCTTTCAATGAAATATTCAGGACAAATTCAGGAAATTTTATGTGCTGTGTGGGCTCATTATGACAGCCGTTTGGCAGGTATATACGTCACCAGACGTTTCGCGATTGTGCCGAAAGGAAGAGATTGGCGCTGTTGCTAACCACCTGAAATACATAATCTACCAAAGGGAGCGTCCACAAATTACGTAACGTTTTTTTTTATTAATTTTGACCCCCCCTCCCCATGTAACACGTTATTGCATACATTAGCGCCATTTTTTCTGCTGTCCGTAACAAAGTGCTTGACCCCCCCCACCCTCAAAAAATGTTACGTAATTTTTGAACGCTCCTCAAGGGCTGTCACAATCAGTAAAGCAGTATCAATATGTTAAATATTTAATACAATTTTATTTTGTTATTTTCGTGATTGGAAAATCTTAGGTCCCTGGCGGATTCGGAAAACCGAGTTGTAACCGAAGTGGGTTACGATTCGGTTACGTTTCGGTTCATTGTGAAATATTATCATTAATCGACGAAATATGTAGTAAATAACTATTAGGAATGGTTAATATACATTTAGAGAGCTTATTTATGCAATATTAATAATAAATTGAGATATAATTAATTAATAATAAGTGTTTTAAGTGTACAATGCATACAGTTGTTGAATTACCATATATATGTATTACCATCAGCGGCAGCTGTGATACGCGCGTTAAACCCTAGATGGCGTTAAGGATGACTTTTTGACTAAATTTCTAAAATTAAGCCCTTGAGTGTTAAATGTGTAGGTGAATATATAAGTTTTAAAAAAATAGATCAATTTATTAAAACAACTTTTTTGATTTGTACAAATATAAAAAAAAATTTTTTTATACCGAACAAAAATTTTTTTAATGAGAAAAAGTTTTTTTTGTGTCAAAATTAATCTTTCTCATTTTTCTTTTTTTGAATAAATTTTTTTTGAATTTTTGAATAAAAAATTTTTTTTTCTCAATAAAATGAAAAAGATTAATTTTGACACAAAAAAATCTTTTTCTCATTAAAAATATTTTTGTTCGTTATAAAAATTTTATTTTTGTATTTGTACAAATCAAAAAAGTTGTTTTAATAAATTGATCTATTTTTTTAAAACTTAGGCTGCAGTCCCATGGCAGCGTTTTGCGTTGCGTTTTGTCACTAGACCCTGAGTGTAAATATAGCAAACATATATCTGCATCTCTTTTACACTCATGGTCTAGTGACAAAACGCAACGCAAAACGCTGCCATGGGACTGCAGCCTTATATATTCACTTACACATTTGACACTCAAGGGCTTAATTTTAGAAATTTATTCACAAATATGGGAACAACTGTGTTGTTACCCATAAGCGTAGCTTGGAAGCCACTATTGGGATCTGATATGGAAACAACTGTGTTGTTACCCATAAGTGTGGCTTGGAAGCCACTAGTCGTTTCGTCCCGGTCCCCACTACTGGACTCATCAGTAAGGCTGCGTAGTGGGAAACCTGCCTTATACGACCATGGGAAAGTGAGAGTTGGATCGTGTATATATGCTACACATATATGCCATCTGGTGACGACCTCGTTGTGTCAGCCATTTTTCGTTTCATCCTTTTTAAAATATATGTAGAAGAAAGAGATAAAAAATCAAGATGGCTGACGCAACGAGGTCAGTTTCCCCATAATTCCCTATGATTTCAGATCCCAATTCGTTTCGTCCCGGTCCCCACTACTGGACTCATCAGTAAGGCAGCGTAGTGGGAAACCTGCCTTATACAACCATGGGGAAGTGAGAGTTGGATCGTGTATATATGCTACACGCCAAGCAACATCTACACTTGTGAGAGAGCACATATGGGTATTGACCAATGGCAGAGACATCCATTGGCCAACCCCCACACAAAGTCATCCTTAACGCCATCTAGAGTTTAACGCGCGTATCACAGCTGCCGCTGATGGTAATATACATATATATGGTAATTCAATAACTGTATGCACTGTACACTTAAAACACTTATTATTAATTAATTATATTTTAATTTATTATTATTATTGCATAAATAAGCACTTTAAATGTATATTAACCATTCCTAATAGTTATTTACTAAATATTTCGACGATTAACGATAATATTTCACAATGAACCGAAAACGTAACCGAATCGTAACCCAATTCGGTTACAACTCGGTTTTCCCAATCCGCCAGGGGTCGTGTATTTTTTAGCGTTTATTAATTTTCCAAATGGAAATTGCATTTTTGATTGTAATTTCTGAGAAAGTACTGTTACAGTTTTTGTGAAAAAAGTACTCATATTTAATTTATCGACATGGAAATTTTTTTCATTATTTTAACTCAAAAAAAGTTTTAACTGGTATATATCTTGCCAATAATCAATTATCCATAAAGGAAAAAGCATTTTACCATCTTGTTTTCAAGAAAAGGTAGTTGAAGATTTTCCAAAATTTTAGTATCAATGTAGACGGCGCTGCCTCACTTGGACCTGGCCTTAAAGTGACCTCACTTTTCAAAATGGTGTCTTGTCGGAAGACATACAATGCATTGAAGTCAATGGAGGGAATCAGTTTTAAAAGCGCTTGTACACCTCACAAATTCTGAGTATCCTCGGAATTTGTCAGAAGTTTCACTAACTTTGATTGGCTTTCCTCATAGAGAATTTTGAAATTTTCCTATCTTTTGGAAATTCTCCATGAGCAAGGCCAATCAAAATTAGTATAACTGTTGACAAATTCCGAGTATACTTAGAAATTGTGAGGTGTACAAGCGCCTTAATTCGCTCCATTAAGGAGCTTCTACAATAGCTCCGTTTGGCAACTCCAAGTCC